TTTTTTTTTTTTTTTTTAAGTTTTTAATCACCCAGCGCTCATCCTCACAAGTGCACTCCTTAATCCCCATCACGTGTTTCACCCTTCCCCTTGCTACCCACCTCCTCTCTGGTAACCATTAGTTCCCTATAGGTAAGAGTCTGTCTCTTTTTTCCCCTTTGCTCATTTGTTTTGTTTCTTAAATTCTACATAAGAGTTTCTTCATCTCTTCTTCTTCTTTTTATTTTTTTTAAGATTTATTCATTTGTCAGAGCACAAGCAGGGAAGCAGCAGGCAGAGGGAGAAGCAGGCTTCCCGCTGAGTAGGGAGCCCAATGCAGGGCTGGATCCCAGGACCCTGGGATCATGACCTGAGCCGAAGGCAGATGCTAAACCGACTGAGGCAGCGAGATGTCCCTTCTTCATCTATTAACATCAAATACCTTTGAGAGTGTATAATTTGGCCTTCGGATGCTTACAGAAATTAGACTGGCCTTATAAATTTTGTATGAAAAATTCTGGTTTTATATTTAAGAACAGAAGTTTATCTAATATTTTCTTCCTAATTACAGTTTCTATAACTGTATTTTTGCACTCCCCAAACTAGAACTCAAATTTTAAAATTGATTTTTTTTTAATTAAAGTAACATACATACATGTTTTAAAAAGACAACACTTTGAGGCTATCTTATCCATCTTTGTCTCTGATTTCTATTTCTGGTAGGCTGCCATTTTCAACCCAGTTAGCTGTTTCTTGTGCTACATATCTCCACATTTCTGAATAACGTGCTTCTGTTACTGTATTTATTATGTCTTGATTCCCTGCCAGTTAGATTTATCTACCATACTCCTCACCCACAATACATTCACTTTGTCTACTCTTTCTTTCCAATATATATCAGTTGGGTGGCTCAGTCGTTAAGTGTCTGCCTTCGGCTCAGGTCATGATCCTGGGGTCAAGCCCCGCATTGGGCTCCCTGCTCCGCGGGAAGCCTGCTTCTCCCTCTCCCACTCCTCCTGCTTGTGTTCCCTCTCTCGCTGTGTCTCTGCCAAATAAATAAATAAAATCTTTAAAAAAATAATAAAATCAGTAATCAGTGTTAACATTACCATGCCATGTAAATGTTATTTACATCTGAGTCATGTAATATAATATGATTGTGTTTCCTTTTCATACAACTTTTATGACATCAATTGCCTCATTTTTTCGTGTCTTTGTATGTGTGCACATAATTTTCTTAGTACCTCTCACTAAACTCTCTGTTGATCGCTTGACAAAACTGTAAAATCCTAAAACTTCTCTCATTGTAGTACTAAGTATCAGGTAGTTGTCTCTTTTCCATTCTTCCCCCCCTGGGAGACATCCTCCAAGATCACTCTTGCTTCACTTTATATTCAGTACCTCTGGGCCATCTTATTCAGGCCTGAGAGTCCTGAGACTTCCCTTCACCCTCTTCCTGGGAATTTCCTTTGCCTCTTCTCTGTATTGGATTACATGTTTTCAGGATCTCATGTAGTTTCCCTGAAATGGGCACATTAGAGGTAATGTTTCTGAGACCTTGCATGTCTAAATATTTCCCATTTTATTCGTTAGTATAGCTGAGTATAGAGGTCTAGGTTGGAAATCATTCCATTCCTTGGGGTTTCAGAGGTATTGCTACATGTTTCAGTGTTCTTGTTACGAAGTCTGATGCCAGGGGCGCCTGGGTGGCTCAGTCGTTAAGTGTCTGCCTTCGGCTCAGGTCATGATCCCAGGGTCCTGGGATCGAGCCCTGCATCAGGCTCCCTGCTC